GCATGTATAGTTTAAACATGAATCTACTGAAAACACCTAAAACCCCCAAACATTTTGGAGAATAGTTCTTACTTTATGCTCCTGAGAAACTGATTCAGTGTGCATATGTTCCTGAGGGCACTGTTTTAACATGGAAAACTAGTTAAAGCCAGATCTATGGAAGGCATAACAGTGAGACTATGTCTGAGTGAATGAGAAAACAAATGTTCATCGGGAAGGGAGGGAGGGAGGGAGGGAAGGAGAAAAGGAAGGAAGGAAGGAAGGAAGGAAGGAAGATCTGCTAGCAGATTCACTAGACCTGGAAGACATCACCAGAGAACTCTTTATGGCTTAGGACTTCATTTATTGCTAAGAGGGGCTGCTCAGGAGCTTTGTTCAGCAGGAGAGACTGGTCCATTGCAAGCCCTACCAGGACAGTAGGGTTATGTACAGCTCCTTCATGACACAGAACTACTCCCCAAGGGACTGACAGTCAGAAAGTCAGGCTTTTGTGTCAGAATGCTTCCATAATGTGTCAAATACAGTACAATGAGCTCATTCTAATGCTTCAGTTAGTCTGAACTAGAAGAAAATGCAGAAACGTCAAGCACTAAACTGCAATTGCCAAAAGTACAGTCAAACAAAAGAAAATAGATTTTGGAATCCTTTGGAATGAATGTATGCAAAAAATTATTAGAGCTGTATAGTATAGTGATATTCTAATGGCAAAATGAGAGATACGCAAGCAAGAGCTTGAGTGTATTTTGAAATGGCAGTTTGTACAATATAGCTACAGAAGACTTGGAAAAACATACTAGGAACCCGAAGAGCTAAAAAATATTTTGAGTAAAGATAAGAGGATTGGAACCCAGAAGCTTATTTCCTGGACATTTAGGTTTCAATTGATAATGGTCTACAGTGAAAAAGCAGAAAGACACACAGACAAAAAGTATTGCTAAAGCAGACATAGATTATAAGATATTGTAAGGGGCAAAAAAGGGAAACAGGAGTCGTAACTCAGAACAAAAGCAGTGGTATCCATAAAAATGTTTTCTTTAAAGAAAGTTGGAGTAAAAGGAAGCCAAGAATAAAATCTCCTTTGACAAAAATTACCTTCACATGAGAAATAAATATATTTTTTTCTGTACTTGGTTTAGGAAATATGTATTTATGTGATCTCACTTTTGCTGTTTAATTATATTTTGTAATTAATAATTTCTGAGATTTAGTGCCAACATTGGCTAGCTGAATGCATGCTGCTTTGCACACTGTGTATACACAAACTCTTCTGGCCTTGAGATAGCTCCATAGATGTTATGTCAGTTTAACAAAGAAGAAATTTGGTTCTGTTACTATTATTATTTGGGATGCTTTTTATTTGTTATCTTTTAAGTGAGAAAACACAACAGAGGACATTCCTCTTATCACGTATCAAACAGCCTTTAATTTAAGTGTTCATCTAATGCACTGTCTTCATTTAACAGACAGTTATTTTTAACATGAAAATCGGTGGGAAATATTATTTCCCTCTCAAATGCAACAGTAGCTGAATCCACTACTGGGGAAGGGAGGGAAGAGGAGGGGAGGGGAGACGAGGGAAGGGGAGGGGGAGAGTGAACAGAAAAATATAGGAAAGGATGCGTAAAACTCTCTCCACCACAGTGAAATATCTGCCAAACTGAACACCCTTCAGATTTACAGGTCTGAACCCACTGTGGTGAACTGGAGTCTTCCTGGAAGATGGATCAATTCCTTTGGTCAAATTCATCCTTTAGCGAAGTGGTTCAGGGCAAACATACCAGAAAATTTGCCCCACTTAAGGAGAAGGGAGGGGAGGATGTAGGGACACTTGGCCCCAGCAGTTACCTCCTCCAAGTGGCAAGCAGTGGGGTAGCCTTAAACAGGCTACCATGACTTCTGAAGATGATGTACAGCTGGACTGATGCCATTTATATTCTTAAATTTCTACTGCATTGCTCAGAGGCACCTTCTACCTTTTCAGTAAGTTGGACCTTGATCTCCTCCATTTTATTCTCTTCATCTTAATCTGACACGTTTGACTAACTCTCTTACTCCACCTACAGCCCAAGCAATTTAGGTCAGGATTTCAACTCTAGGAGCACAGTTGTTCCCTCACTCTCACCAGTGAGGGAACAACTGTGCTCCTAGAGTTGAAATATAACCTCCATTATAAATTTGTGGCATCTTTTAGAACTTTACATGTAAAACAGACTCAATTAAAGTAACTTAAAGTGCACACTATAACATTTTATTAAAGATGTAACTATAAGAAGGCTCTGGGGATACTGTATAGCACTTTCCAGTAGCTAACCGGACAACAAGAAAGGTGGAGAGTGACTTTTTGCAAGGGCATGTAGTGATAGGATAAGAGGTAATGGATTTGAACTGACAGAGGGCAGGTTTAGATTAGATGTTAGGAAAAAATTGTTTACTGTGAGGGTGGTGAGACACTGGAACAGGTTACCCAGAGAAATTGTGCATGCCTCATGCCTGGAAGTGTTCAAAGTCAGGCTGGATGGGGCTTTGAACAACCTGGTAAAGCAGAAGGTGTCCCTGCCCATGGCAGGGGATTGGAACCAGATGATCTTTAAGGTCTCTTCAAACCCAAACCATTCTGTGAAATAGAATAATGCTGGAAACTTGTTGATATATATAAATCATAAACTTGCCACTAAATTAGCTTTGTTATTAAGCACCTTCTCTGCTGACAAGGTGGTCTTGGAATCATAGAACGGTTTGGGTTGAAAGGGACCTTAAATGAATGTACTCTGTTATGTATAGCTGCTGACCAAATCATGAAAAGATATCTTGAGAAAGAAGCAATTTGCATCACAAGTCTAAGGCAAGGAACATCATATTGATTGTAGTGAGAATAAAATATGGGGTTCCAAAAGGAATAGAAATAAAGTTATACCATGATAACAGAGATTGGACAGCAAATGTGTATTTGAGAACCACTATGTGACAATGTAGTTAAAGACTCTTGTGAGATAACATGCAAAATAACCAACCAAATTAGTTTCATGTATGGTCTTCATCTTCCAAAGTTTGATTTTTGTGTGCTCAGCACTCTTTGAATAATACTGTAATGCATGTTGCAGTCTTTTCTTGAAATCTGGGGTATATATCAGTAAAACCTAATTTCCTAAAGGTAATTTTATACTTACCATGTACATTTAAGAGTTTGAAGACAGATTTTTCAGCTGTCCATATGACTTCTTCTGTTTAATTAATGAACTTAAAGGGACTATATTTAGTCACATAGCTTAATGTAACACTGCCCTATCACAGTCCCGCTGCCATTCCTATTAAGATATTCTACCAACGTGGTTGAACTATCTCACTCTTCTATTTTAAGAAGGGAGAAGGCATGCTTATAAAATATTCCAGAGGTTAAAAAAAAAAAATAAAATGAGAAGAGACCAGTTAGTTGCTCATTCTGGACGGTTAGAGGTGCAACAGGACAGAGAGGGCAGAAGGGCCAAGGGTAGGCTACAAATGCCTCCCCACTCAGCCAACAGCCCAAGCCCTATGACACCCGTGTGACTCCCAGAGGCAAGAGGCTGGTGGCCGTCCGTGAGCGGGTAGCTAGCGTACACTTGCATTCCCCGCCGGGCTCCGAGGGCGACGGCTGCCGCGGACCGCCCTGAGGGGGTCTGTGCTCCTCGGGGGTGAGCGGCCGCCGGCTCCGCCCGGGACGGTCGCTCCCGGCCTCGGCCGCTCGCTGCCCGAGTTGGGAACTGCCAGCGGGGCCAGTTCTGCTCCCGAAACACGCGGGCGAGCTGTGCGTGAGGAGCGGCCGCGCTCCGTGTGCAGCCGCGGCTGTGGGGAAAGGGGCGGGGAACAGTGAAAGGCATCGTGAGTTCGCCTAGTGAATTTTACGCCTAAAACACGATTTCTCCAGGTGGTGGAATAAAACGGTGTCTCCTCACCTTCCCCCGAACGCCTCTGAGGCAGCGTGAGTCACAGCACAATCCGAGAGCTGCACCTCGCAACCGCGTTTCACAAAGTTAGGGAGCGGCGGCGGCGCTTCCTACGGGACGGCCGGGACAGCGGCGAGGGGCTCAGCGGGACTCGCCGGGCCGGGGGCTCAGCGCGGCCACGCAGTGTGGCCCGTGGCTCCCGCTCCGTCGGCCGGGTGTTACGGCTGGGCATCGCTGGCGGGGCCGGCCCCCAGTCACCGCTCCGGGGCGGCGGCGGCGGCTTCCCTCGGTCCGAGGATGCCCGCTCGCAGCGAGAAGCCCAGGGGTGGGGGGAGGTAGCCCTCCTGTCCGCCCCGTCCGCATCCACCCGCGTCCCGCCACTCCACCCCGCGCCGGGGGGGCAGAGGCAGCCCAAACTGCTCCGAGGGCACCGGAGATCGACGGTAGAGCCGGCGGCAGGGCCGCGACCTCCTGCTCCTGCGGCCCCGGCCCCGGGGGGTGCGGGCCACACCTCACCCCGCCCCGTTCCCTCGCCGACCCGCTCCCTCGCCGCCGCCGCGCCCACCTCCCCGGGCCGGGCGGCAAAGCCACTGCCTCCCCTCGCCGCCGCAGGGCCGTGCTCCGCACCCTCGGGACAACGGTGAGCCCTCCCCTCCCGGCCGCCGAGCGCCCCCTTCCCCGCCCCTGCGCCAGTGCCGGTGCCGGGCGGGGGGCGGCGGCAGCGAGGGAAGAGGGATGAGGTCATCCTCTTTCCCGGCGTCAGTCAGCTGGGTGGTGGCGGCGGCGGGTGCGGGCGGAGGCGGGCGGGGAGGCGGGTGCGGGATGCGCTACTCCGGGCAGCGCAGCCCTGCCTGCTGCCGGCTCGAGCGGAGCGCGGCGGCGGCCCCGGCACCGCCGGCCCCCGCGGCGGCGTTGGCGGGGCGGGCGGGCTGAGCGCGGCTCCCCGCAGACAGGCGGCGCTGCGGACGCGGCCGCCGCGGAGGAGCCGCCCGCGGGCGCGCAGCCCGGCGCGGAGCGGGGACAGGGGACGCGGGGAGCGGCGGGTCCGCGGCGGCGGAGGGCGGGAGGCAAGAGTCAGGAGGCGAAGGAGGAGGAGCAGGAGGAGGCGCGGGATAAAGGAGCGCTCGCTGCTCCCTCTCGCTCTCCGGCGGGGCTGAGGGAGGCATCATGGCCGCGAAGTCGGACGGGCGGCGGAAGATGAAGAAGGGCGGCGAGGTGGCGTTCACGCCGCTGCAGAACTCCGAGCACTCGGGCTCCGTGCAGGCGCTGGCCCCGGGGCTGCCCACCGGCTCCGGGCCGGGCGGCGGCAGCGACGACGACGAGGCGCCCGGGGGCGGGTGCTGCAGCAGCGGCGGCAGCAGGGACGGCACGGGCGGCGGCTCCCGGTGCTGCTGCTGCTGCGGCGGCGGCAGAGGAGGAGACGGCGGAGGGGGCGGCGGCGGGGGCTCCCGGGGCTCGGGCGGGGGCTCGTCCTCCTTGTGCTTGCGGCTGGGCAGGGAGCAGCGGCGCTACTCGCTGTGGGACTGCCTCTGGATCCTGGCCGCCCTGGCCGTGTACTTCGCGGACGTGGGCACCGACATCTGGCTGGCTGTCGACTACTACCTGCGGGGCCAGCGCTGGTGGTTCGGGCTCACCCTATTCTTCGTGCTGCTGGGCTCCCTCTCTGTGCAGGTCTTCAGCTTCCGCTGGTTCGCGCACGACTTCAGCACCGAAGACAGCGCCGCCGCCGCCGCCGCCGCCGGGCACTGCCCCGCCGCCGAGAGCAAGCTGCTGGTGAGCAGCGGCTCCGCGGCCGCGGACATCGACGCCGCTCGCCCCAGCACGCCGCAGCGACAGGCGTCCACCGCCAGCAAGGGCAACGCCACCAACAGCAGCAGCAACAGCAGCAGCAACGCCGCCGGCAGCGGCGCCGCCGGTCCCCGCGCCAGCGGCGGCCGGTCCGCGTCCTGCGCCTTCTGCATCTGGCTCCTGCAGTCGCTCGTCCACATCCTGCAGCTGGGGCAGGTCTGGAGGTGAGGAGCCGGGCGAGGGCGGTGCGGGGGCCGGGGCCTGAGCCCCTCGCCGTGGGGGAGCGCTCCCGGCCGCGTGCGGGACCGCGCCTGGCGAGCGCCGCCTGCCCCACCTCGGGATCCCTCTTCGGGACACGCCGGGCCGTCGGGGGGCTCGTGGTGGCCGGGCCCCCCCGAGGCTGTGAGCGGCCCCGGGCGCGGCGTCTCCCACCCCGCTGAGGGGAGCTCCGCCGTGTCCCTGAGCGCCCTGTGCCGCACGAGCGGCCGCCGCCCGGGGAGGCGCCCGGCTGCCTCCCGCCCGCACAGCGCCAGGTGCCCTGAACCTCCTGGGAAACTTGCGCCGGGGGCTCGTAAAATAAAAGAACCGATAGGGGAAAGGGACCATACCCCAGTAATGCTCGTCTCCTGGTGTCCTCACATGTGGCCAGGACACCGTTGCCGCCAGCAGGGAACTTCACTGACAGTGAAGAGTTACTTTCTGGTAACACCCCGATGCTGTTTTATGAGGTTTACACATATGCTGCGAGCAGTCATCTCCTTGCTATGCATACCCGTTTTCTATATATGTGATGTATTAAAGGAATGTCTTCTAAATCAAACTTCTGAGTAGCAGTTCTCAAAACCACCCGCAAGCGACACACACTGCGTTATGGGAAGGATGTGCTGAAGTAGGTTGTGGAAGGCACTTACTGAGGAAGGAGATGACATCATAGTTTTCAAAAGTAAACTTTTCCTTCGATTTGAGCAAATTTGTTGGAAAGATTCATATGGAGGCTGAATGCCCTGCAAATACATTTAATGCTGCCTGAAAAGTGCAGGGTTCAGAAGGCATAGTGTATAGCTAAAACTTTCGCATAAAATTTTGGAAGACAGATTCTGTGTTGAAGAAGGTCATGCAGTGGGGCAAGTGCACTAAAGCAACAGCTGAAAATACCTTTGGAGTTTCTTGTCTGGTGGATGAAAAGAAATTCTGTCATCCTTCTCTTTTGGAAACAGTGGGGGTTTTTTTCCAATTATTTCATTAGAGGGTTTAATTTGTTGCTACTCCAAAGTTCTAAGGCTGAAGTTTTTAATATCTGTCTCATCCTTTTGAACAAAGACTGGCTTTTGCTCTGTATTAATGCAGTATCTGGTACTGCTCAGTTCCACTTGTGACCCTTAAGCATCAAGGAGTCCAAGTGCTGCTAGATAATTGACCAAAGACCTTAGGATACCATAACTGTCTTTCACTTTCCAGAGTATTCTGTTCATTGTGATAAATACAATTTCCTAAACTTGTGAAACTAAAAGTTACAGGTGTACTCAATACGAACTTGAGAGGGAAGCAGAAGTTTGAACAAAAAGTGATGCTTTGTTTTGGATCTTGATTGGTTATATGCTCACTTGTGCTGTACCTCCACAGCTGAACACAAGTTAACACAAGTTAAATTTAGGACTTTGTGAGTGAGGTGGTTTTTATGTAATGTTTAGTCCCCAACCTACAGAGACAGCAAAGTAGGTACAATGGCTCAAATTCTATGTAGAAATTCATGTTGATACTGACCCATACAGAAGACAAAACTGTGGATCATGCTGAGTGACAGAGAAGAGAGTTTTACAAGGTCTGGTGTCATGTGGAGAATACAAAGAGCAGGGAGGGCTGTGGGTGGAGCAGGGTGGGATCTGATACTGTGCAGCAGTTCTGTCAGATGAGGTGTCTGGGATTTAGAGCTCTCTAGCTGCTTGCTTTTTGATGAAGAACAGTCTTTTTTAAAATCCAATTTTCTCCTTGGAAGAGCACCTAGTCCTCTATATTTAAAGCTAGCTGAGTCTCTTTCGATCATATGTAGCTTTTATTTGTGTTTTATATGCAGCAATGTCAGACTACCAGAATATTAGACCAATGAGGCAAGTTAGGACATTTTTTATGGTTTAGCCTTTTTATGGTGATGCCTTTTTTTTCCTCAGTGAAACAGAGCCATAGAATTTTTTGTCTGTCAGTAACTTTGTAGTATTTATTTGCAATTTTCCACAAGCATACAAATATATATGGTCGCTTGTATGCAATGTCGCATATCAGCACTTCATAATTTATTAAAGTGACTTCATTTTAATTCCCTGCATACATTCCTGATAAGGGAGAGCCTTTGGAGACATCTACGACTAATAATCAGCACCAAAGAAGAGAGGTCACATCAAACCCTGAGAAACTCTGTACATAAGCATGGCATCAGAACTAACATGACCTGTGGAAATTTTCTGGAAAATAGAGTGTCTATTTAGACACTTAATAGTCCAGAACTTTTTCTCTGCAGTGTAACACTGGCACTGTCTTGAGCAAATAATTCAAGCTATTTAGACTGAAGAAGGATCTGAAATGTTTTCCAGTTTTTTCCAGTATTTGGAGACTTACTCCTTTGATGCAGCTGAACAGACCATGCTGGCTGTGTGAGCACCACAAGTGCACATGTGCTGGGGTCACCATCCTCCCAGTCGACAAAACCCATGTTACCCTTTTTTCTGTGCTTCTCACTGTGTTTCCTCTTAGCTTTCAGTTTTTCCCTTTTTTTCTTTTGGCCCTGGTTAAAACTCCCATATGTCTGCATTTAAGTTTTCTGTTACTTATTGCATTGAATTTCCTACAGCAAAAATGACAGTAAGATGCCTGTCATTTCTCTGTTGACAAGGAGCCCTAGGTATAAGTTCCTTGGTTTTATGTAAGGGCAAGGATATCAGGGAATGAGGAGAAAGTTTACTGATTCCTGATTCTCAAGATACTGAAACTGGTGCTCATTCTGTTTTTATGTGGTGTTTGTTGTCTTTTGTCTCGTATTAAAAATGTCCCATTACCAAAAATTTTTAGGTGAACTGTGTCAACTGCTTAGTTAAGGAAGCTATCCTGAGGAATTGGGGTTACAACTGACAATACCAACATTCTTAATGTTCTTGCATTAAATTTAAAAAAAAAAAAAAAAAGGAAAAAAACACTAACTTGTAAAAATGTGGTTTTACTAATTAGTTCTGTCAGGATGACTTTTAACAATTTCAAAGCTTTTCCTTTGAGATTAATTTTTTGTTTACAAATATACTGAAAGCTGGATCATTTAAAATGATTATGTGTTAATTTTAACTAGAATGTGCTAATGGGAAATGAATGAGCTCTTTAATGTGGCATGGAACAATGCTGGAAATAGGCAATCTAAAATTACTAAAACAGTTTTTATTCCTAGAGTGTAAAGAAGGGGAGCTCCAGGAGCAGCTAAGCTGCCAGTCAGTTCTGAATAAAAATGTAATTTTTTTTCTTTTGAAATCAGTATAGTTTTTTTCTTTTTCCCACAAACTTTAGAATATTGAATTCCTCCTGTCTGAAGGATAAACATATAATTTACTTTTTCTCTGGGGGTCGGATGTTCATGAGCTTCCTGATAATAGTGTCCCGTTAAAGTACCAGTGAAGTCTCTGAGGACCTCCTTGCCACAGCAAAGTGCAGCTACTAGGCCTTTGTTGGCAGCTAATTTCATGTTAAAATATGATCATTGATGGGATTTTGCCTTCAGAGATAGATACAGACACATTTCTTTACCAATAATTCTGCCTTTAACCAATATACGGGCATAGAAGCCACGCTATGGAGCCCTGTTTTCCCAAGTATGTGCTGTGAGAGACCTGGTTGATTGTTAGTAGGCTCTGGGGAGTACAAGGAAGATGTAATGCATGGGTTCTTTGTATTCCACTGAAAAGAAAAAATGAAAGCAGGTGCTTTAATTTATAGTCTATAAGGACTACGTAGAGGAATATGGGCCAATAAAATTCGGATAAACTATTGCCCTTTGAGCTGGCATGAGAGTATCTAACCACTGCCCTTGAGCATCCCTTTGATTCACTAAGCTTCCCAGGCTTAGCCATGGCTTTCAGATTTTGCAGTGGATAGCAGGACTTGGTGACTGGATGTAAGAGATAGTAGCATTCACTTGGCATCTGTGAAGCTAGTTCATTTCCTTAAAAAAATTTTCTCTGGCTGAGGTTTCTTTGGCCTGGCAGGATTGGATAGCAATGCTCGTGAAGCTGGGAAAAGGTGTCCTGAGACCCAGCCCTGGGGGGAGTGTGGATAGTAGGAAGCTGGGTGGGTGAGAGGAGGAGACTGGAGGACTGCTGGTGCCCAGTTTGTGGTGTCTGGAAAGCAAGAAGTAGCTCCTTGAGACAATTATTGTGCCTTGAAGCTGGGTGGTGTGAGCAGTCTGCCTTGGTTCTTGGAGGTTCCCACAGTGTCTGTCATTTGTCTGAAAGGCTGCAGTTGAAGTCCCTGAAAAGGAACTGTCAAGTTTCTGTTGCCAACAATGTCAGAGGAAAGGTGAATCATTGGAAAGAGGAGGTCTGGAAATTACCCTTTAAAATTATTTCTGGATAGCTGAAATAATACTGAGATTATTAAATACATCCCTCTCAACAGAGTGAGGGGTTTTGAGATTTCCTAGCTGTGTGGGAACCTGAAGAAGGAAGAGACACCAAGTTAATTGCAGGCCCTTCCAGGTGGTATTTCCCAGGACAAGTGTCTGTTCCAAAGTAGGTCTAGTTGCCTGACAAGTGATGCTATGGTTTAGTGATGCTATGCTATATCTCTTTATGTGTATTAATAAGAAAGCATTATTTTGCTTCTCCTTCCTGGTTCTTATTTGGAAAAAAAAAATCCTTGGAGCAAGGTTGTAGAGGTGATACTGGATTCTGAGACCAGGGTGAGTTGCAATTTCTCTGCTGCCCTGCGGAAGCATTTTTCACAGGTCTGGGTCATCTGCCAAAGAAATTTCATTGCCTGTGCTCATGAGCTTCACCTCTTCAACAACTTTATGCTCTTAGAATTAGGAAAAAAAAAAAGGAAAACGGTGCCTGCCTTGTATACCGTCCTGTATATGAGAAATCCTTACAACCTCCTCAGGTGCTCACTATTAAGCATGACTGGACCCCTAAGATGGAACTGGGAGCAAGGTAGTTCAAATTAAGAAAAATGTCATCAGTCTTAGCTTGAC